CACTGTACAGTTACGAGAGCCTTTCGCTGTGTCGAAAGGCAAAAATTAACAAGAAGGAATCTTAGGAGATGACCCACAAACTTATACCCTCAAGGTCTGTTCCAGCTAGAAGATCGCTCTGAACGCAATGACCCCTCCCCCCCTCTTGCCCCCAGGGCCCGGTTTGTTCAGATAACGTATTGTATCAGCGCTAAGTGGTAATAGAATAAATGGACATAAAAGTAGCAGACCGGATGAATAAATAGACTGATAAGCAAGCAAACCCTCAGGCCCACCTCCTCTCCTTAACGGCCTGTGGAGTCTTGGGGGTTGTCTCCCAGACTCGACGACACGATGTGCACTATGTGCACACTAAGCAAGCACGAATCCGGTGATAAACTTGCCTAGACTATGTTAGCTTGGCACAAACATGGCACAAGTGGGGCCCAACCCTATGTCCTGTTTCCTTCAGCCCCACCAAGCAACAGTCAGGCCAGCGCGGAAAAAAAAAAAAAAGACTAGCTCACAAAAGATACTAAAATAGAGAGTTCCCAACACAGGGAAGGGCAAGGATTCAGAAAACTTACAAGTATGCTCAGCGCTACTCACTACACTTCATACTTCATTCGTGGTCTTTGAGAGAATGCGGGAAATGGGAAACGGGTGCGAACCAACCATAGACTACCGGTAGTGATTATAAACCATACTTGCAACCACACCGTGCGCCGTACCGTGTGGTGCAGCGTGGCCCCTGTTCGTCCCCCGTACCAGCAGCAGTTTCCCGTTCGTTGTTTTTTTTTTTTTTTCCTGTTTTCGTAGATACAGAAGAGTGCACCACCTGAGGAACAGATCTTCAAGCACAACCATACAGATTTTTCTTTCCGTCCAATTGGGCACGAGAAAACGTTGTCTTGTACATCTGTCTTGCCCTTTGGGTAGCGGCATTACTCTCCCACTATTTTAATTTCTTTTTCCATCCCACAACAAATCTTCAAAGGGGACGCCGGTGACCATTAACCCAGGCATGTGATCTCTTTTTCTTCAGAGTGAACATTTCCCCAGTGCGCCGCACCGTGTGCGAGTCCGCTCGTCCGCCGAATGAGCGGGAATTTTGACGCGCGGCGTGCGCTTGCATGTATGGATGGTTTAAACACAGCTGCAAAAGCCCTGAATTTCCCTAGGACTCCCACTGACAGAGATGAAGACCCAGCCATGGCATTTGTGTGCTGAAGATAACACATTACTGCTGCGCCATGAGCTCCACGTAAAGATGCCGCAGCTGATATCACATGAAATTCTCAGTTGCATGCCAAATCAATTTAGGGCGGCATCTCACCACCTCCTTTATTTTTCCCCCATGCCTTTTGCCACTATGATCCCAGCACCTGTATGATCCCTCGACTGGATGACCAGGCCTGGCCGCAACCAAGTTCTTTGGGGCTGAGACCCCTACGAACCTACCTGGATGTGCATGTGGCGAGATGTGCAATCGATCCCTTCGGATTTGTGAACATCCCAGGGTACATGTGGTCATTTTCATGGGTGCATGAAAGTTTTCTGGCCCATTTTATCCCTTCAAAAACATAAACTCAGAATAAATTATTACTTGAGGCCTACAAGGCTACACCTGATCCTAGCGATTACAAAAGATCGACCCCAAATTTTTGGAAAGACACCGAATCCCCATCGCAGAGATGCCACATGCCTTGGCACTGCTGGCAGCCAACGACATGGCGAGTTTAAGATTGCTCCTGAAGTCACAGGGCCTTTTCAACAACCCTGACGGATCGACAAAGGGCAGCCAGAATACATGAACATGACAACATGTGCAGAAAGGGAGATGACATGAGAAGTTGTTGTGGCGTACCCCTGCTGCACCTCAACTGTTCGGTTTAGTATTATGTTTCTTCCCTGCTTGATGCCTATGCCTGATGCATTCGCACGCAATTAATTCACCATACACACAAGGTTGTGCCATCTTTTGTGTCATTCTATAGTTCTCAAATGTAGTGTAAGAAGCATCGACGACTGAGATGTGATTGCACGCAAGGAGTTTGACATCCATGCACCTCGCAAAGGAGAGATGACATGAGACGTTGCGGCGGTGAGGTAAGTACTACATGTATTCCTTGCGGTGGTCTAATGTACAAGTATACTCCGTGTGTTCCGTATGCCATAACAGTTTTATTCTAAAATTTCATGGCAAGGGCATACGACATGAGATGATGCTGGTATGGCATGGGAGGGGGGCTACCCCATTCCCCGCCCCCGCCCTCATCTGTTTTGTCCTGTATAATATTTCTTTGCTGCTTTGTGCTTATGTGGGGGTTCGACGTAGGGTGCATTCTTTGTGGTTGCATTGATTGTCATGAGCTACTTTTTCCATACATGCTCAAGACCACTGGGTTACCCTCCTGCCTCACCAGCATCCATCCGCACCAAACCGTGGTACAGCCTACAGGCTGTGTACCCGTGCCCTTTCATTTTTGGAGAGGACCAGTCGCCTCAAAGTCCCTTGCTCCATTTCAACTGGTAAGCCCGGTGATAGCTGCCTGAAGCATTCCCTAACCACAGTGACACATGTGTCTTTATACTACAACATTACGGAAAGGGGACTAGACATGAGAAGACGTTGTTGAAGCGGGGGAGGGGGGCAATGTGCAAGACACATATCAGTGTACCATCTTTTCCCTTTATAGTTTCGGTCATGTACGTATCATCCACGAGTCACAAGTGAATGCCGGCAAGGTATTCGCCATTCATGCATGTTGTTGTTGTTGTTGTTGTTGTTGTTGTTGTTGTTGTTGTGCGCGGGGGGGGGGGGGGGGGGAGAGAAGGACCGCACTCTGCAGTTGCGCTCAACGAATTGTCAAGGCACATATGGCTATATATACCGTCTTTTCCCTTCTTTATAGTTTTGGTCATGTATGTAGCATCCACGAAATACAAGTTGAATGTCGACGAGGTATTCGACATTCATACATGTCGAGTTGTTGACTGTTCAGTACAGTAGCATATTTCTTCACCACTTAACGCCTATGCGCTTCTCAGTGCAGTTGCACTCGACAAATCCGCAAGGCACATAAGTGCACCATCTTTTGTGCATGTGTCTTTTTTTTCCCTGGTTCTGTCATGCATGAAGTATCCACGACAGACATATGAATGTCAGCAAAGGGTTTGGCATTCATGCATGTCGACGTGAGAAGATGTTCCTAAGATCTGACCATTTCTGGCAGTTGATTTGGGAGACCTTGTTTCGGAAGGATCCATTCTGTTCACCATGTTGAATGCGAGGGAGCCCTCATTTTGGAGGCTGATTGGAGTGGCTGCTCTCAATAAAATGTCCAGGTATCGGGAACAAACTGCCGCTCCGATATGGCCTAAGTATGGCCTGTTGTTGCCAAAATGGCCCAAGAAACATTTTTCCCTCTATGAGACATTGCTACCTTAGTGCACTACCGCCCTTTCCTGCAGCACGAGCGACGCTCGGTCGACAGCCCGGCTGACCGGCTGACCAACCGCCGGACAGACAGCCAGAAAGGATTGAGGTTATCACTCGAGAAAGAGGGTGAAGGTTGAGATGACCTGCTGTGGGAGGCATGAACGAGTGGTGAGTGGGCTAGATGAACACGAGATAAGATCGTGATGGGAAAAGAGCCAGCCGAGAAGAAGAGCAGAAGAGAGCAGAAAAAAAGGCTAAGTGGACTAGCGCAAAGAAAACTGCCCTGCATAGATGATGGTTTCTTCTTTTATTTTTGGGCGCATGTATGGCACAGTCAGAAAAGTTTCAACATGCGAACCGAACTGGCAGTTGCACTTTTGTGCCAGCCTGAGTTTAAACTGAAAAAGAAACTCCGGCCAGCCTGTCCAACATCCACCGCACGGTTCTTCCTTCGGCAGTCTCAAGGCTGTTACCATCCTCGCTCACCACACGGTTACGAGGTAATTTGTTCTGACGCGGCTGTTAACAGGCCGAATCCTTCAGGCTTCGGCCCTACCAAACGGAAAAGGCTGGCGGTGCCAGGGAAAAAGTTCAGATTCTGTACTAAGGCCGGGGCATGGTGGGGCCGGGGGGAAGGGGCACCGAGGTTTTTTTTTTGTGTGTGCGTCTGTGTGTGGGGGGGAGGGAAGGCTTGGGGGGACGGGGGAGAAGTGATAAAAAAAAAACAAGACAAAGACAACTGGGGGGCGAGGAGGTAATCGCCGCAGGAGTGGTGATTCTCCACGACTTGATCGCCATTCATACGTGCGTACCATCTAAATCTGTCAGCTAGGTGTACACGATGTGCTGTCTCTGATCAATCTGCCGCCGACAGAGAGGTAACATATAATGGCAAGAGAACAAAAAAAGTCAGAAAAAGATGTAATGTCAGTGTGATCCACTGTGGAGTAGAGGCACCAAAAAGGTACACAGAGTACCTCAATATGTAGTAGCCAGCTGTCCCTGCAAGTTTTTATTTTCTTTTCTTATTCAGATTACTGAGCAGTATACTGTTCTTTTTTTTTTTTTTAATATTGTTACTTCATTGTAGTCTAGAAATTCGGAAAAACAATGATAATGGCGACGACTGGGCTTTGTGTGAAATCTGCCAAGGGGTTTACAGTACATACAGCAATCAGCCCCCCAACTGGCTACAGATCATTGAGCATGACCGAACAGCGGCCAGCACAAACAATGAACAGAGGACAACCACCTCAGGTTGGGGCAGATGATAGGAGGGGCAGATGATAGGAGGGGCATATG